CTTTCAAGTTGCTTGCAGAGAACTTTTTAAACAGTAAAAATATCTTAGTTTGGAAGCGTGGGCATTTGTCTGCAAGAATATAGGAAACATTTTCAACTTGTTCTCCAGGACCTATTGAGTAATAAAGTAGTAAACATGCTCATTCCAGTAACATCCTGTAAGATTTAAATACTGGAATTCTGCTGTACCTCGGAAATAATTTGAAAAAGATGCTTCAGGATATGCAAATGTAGTACCTCTATATGTGTCTTTAAAGCAATCGCATCTTTTCTTAGTAATGCATGTTGGTCTTTGTAGCTGTCATATGAAAATAGCTTCTGTTTGGCAATATGAGATATTGGAGTTCTTAAAAAATTGGGGACAAATAGCTAACCAATCTATCCATCATATATAATCCCATTCATTTCTCCAAAAGTCCTGCATGAATAAAGTTACAAAGTTAGGATGGAAAATAACCATTTGCAACCCAAAAACTAAAGTTCAAAAATTCCAGTAATGGTAGATGTCAATCCTGAGATGCACCTTATTGTGGCTAATTAAAATATTGCAATGTCCTCTTTGACCTGTCCAATGGATATGGAACATCATGTTACTTAATAAGCACACAAACCAATTAAGTACTTACATTTAAACCAAACAATGAAAACTTAACCATTAGCACCTCTCCAAGTGGCCTTCTTGGTCTTTACAAATTGCCTACTGGAGAGGAAGGGGCACACATATGTGCAGGCATAGCTGACCAGGAACTTGCAATTACAAAAAGCTAAATGGAGGGCAAGGGAACCTGTGCGCACACCTTGCCTGACAAGTCACTTGCAAAGAAGTGCATACTAGGTAACATCAGCAGTGCTATTGAATGTAGAGTTTGATTCTGGTTTATTTATAGTAGTTTGCATTGCCAGCGTTGGTTGGGAGTGTGGTTTGCTCTGTAGTAATTCCTTGATTGGAATATTTTTTCCTGTTTGATTATTTGCTTCATATTAATCCCTCTTTATCTGGGCATTGGCTGCTGAAGGGGATGTGTTCTGGTCTTTTTTTTATTAACAAATGCTAGTGTTACTTCGTTGGGTAATAAAACAAACAAACAAGCAAACAATCAAGCTCAGAGAACACCAAGGACACCACAATTCAACCCTGAGCCACATACAGTCTCTTCTATTGAAAGAATTTTCAAGCAGTTATTTGGTACTTGCATAAGGGCAACTGCAAACGAAATGTTACAGATGAAGAATTGCTGTTGTTATGTCTGTGGAGATTCTCAGTCATCCAGGTCATGGCAGCTGAAGAAGCTCCTTGGATGAGAAGCGAAAACATCTTCAAAGAAAAACCAGAAAGTCCAGTTGCCTCTTGAAAAAAGCACTTTTGGGACTGCTGTTACTATATGTAGCGTCACAACGGGTAACAGATCTGGGAGGCAAAGATTTGCTGCCTTGCAAGCTGGAAGCAAGGATAGTGTCTCACCCCAACCAGTCCTGTCACACTAATGTTCAGAGGTGTATGAGTTCTCAATTATAAAGACATTGTGACAAGAATAATTTAACCTCTTAACTAATCTTAACTAATTGTATCCCATGTAATTGCAGATTTTTTTTTGCTTTGGTAACATTTGCATATGAAACAAATAACAAAGAAAAGGACGAAACATGCTCTAGGGCCTAGGCCAAGGACCTTTGCTGGCTGAGGAATTCTGGGAGTTGAAGTCCTCAAGTCTTAAAGTTGCCAAGGTTGGAGACCCCTGCCACACCCACCAAGCCACACCCACAGAACCAGTAGTAAAAAAAATTGAATTCCACCACTGGGTAAACAGCTTTACCATGCCCAATTGCAGTACCACTCTTAGTTCCAAATTAAGCCAGAAACAGGAACTATCTTGTTTATTTTATAGAAACATAGCCATTTGTGGATCTGACTGAAGCAACAGCAAGGAAAGTATTATTTAAAACTTGTGCACAGTCCATACTTTTAAGGTACATAACACATTATCCAATAGAGATATCACACAGTGTTAAACCATCTTGATTTTGTTGGAAAAAGTACAAGATCAAAAAAATGTGATCAGAAAAAGGCCTATGAGGAAGAGATAAGGACTGATCACCCAGAATGCTACAATTAAATTTTAATGACGTCTCATTTCCAGAGTTACAGGATTAAAAAATAGCAGAGTGTGAAATATTCATAAATGTTAGCACAAGGTTATTCTTAGTATACATGTTTTGTCTCACTTTATGAGAATTCTTTGACGTCATAATGCCACCCCTCAAATTTTAGAATAATTTAAAGCTAACTTTATGCAAATTTATCTGCAAAACACACTTTATTTACTAGAAATTCTGTGTTCTAATGGCAAGAATTTTATAAGAAATCCACAAGGATCATGAAAACAGGGATATGGTTTAATTTTATGTATGTTTTGATATTACTTTCACAAAGGCAGATGTGCTAGCAAGTCTACCCAAATTCTAGCAGTACAATCCGAGCTATGATTTATTGCACTAGATACAATCTTTAATATCCTTTAAGGCCTAACTGTAAACTCCCACAGCCTTGATCCTCTATTATTCCTGCACTGATAACAAAAGGACAACAAATAACAATCTGAAGCCTTGGCCTTAGAATCATTTCCTTTTCTCATTCAGCTGTACAGGTCTATCTAATGAAATCTATTATACTTGCTTTCACCAAATGATCCTGCGTCACCAGCTGGACCTGACAGACTAAAACAAGATTTCTAATAGCACTAAATGGAATGCTCAGTCTTAAGCTGTGGTTTTGAGCATGAAACAAAACCACTTTTAAAGAAAGCATTATGTGGTAATGAGAATTTTTTTCCATTAATTAAAACATGTAGCATAAGTAGAAAGTCAAAAAATCGTACCTCATGACATGTGTTTTATTTGTCTCAGTCATATCTAAATCAGTGCTTCTCAAACCTGGATAAATTACCCAAAATAAGATGAACGTGGTTTTTGGGGGGAGGGGGGAATAATGACACACAAAATCATTATCCAATTACAATGACTTAAAGTGTTTTACCTATATTGGGTAAAAAGTGGTTTTGGGTAATGAAGAAAAAGGTTTGGAAAGCATTGTGTTAAATACTACATTGAACATTAAAAAGGAAACTTATTATTCAGATATATTACAATAAAAAAGGAAGTACAACTTTTGTTGCCTTTCACCAAATATTTCAAAAAATATGCAGGTTGGTGTATGTATATCCAATCAGGATCTCTGAAACAATTACACACTGCTTAACATAAGCAATAAAATTGTACAGTGGTATCATGCCAGGAGGGGGATTCAACTGGCGTTACTGGTTCGGTGATTATGTTTTGCACATGCATGCGCGTCTGACACGCATTCTGCGTGTGTGTAAAATAACCTTAGGCTGTGCCGCCCGGACAGCTGAAAAGTGCTGCGCACAGGTGCGCAGCATTCAAAAAGCCTCTTTTCCCCTGCTTTTTCAACCTCAGCTGTGCCGCGGAAAGCAGCTGAGGTTGAAAAACAGGAAATAAAGGACAGGTAAGAGCCCGGGCAGGTGGGTGGGACAAACAGCAGCAAACACAGAACCAGTTCTGTGTCTGCTGCTCTTCAAAGCGACTGGCTCTATAGAACTGGGCAGAACCGTTAGCATCCCACCTTGTATCATGCACAACCTGCTTTACTATTCTATGGCCAAAACAAAGGTGGAAAAAATACATTATAAAACACATTCTAGCTGTGTTTTGAATGAATAAACATGCTATGTTTGCCAATCAATATGTATCGGGCTCTGTGTGTGTGCACACACACTCTCCATCAATCGATAGGGTTAGGTTGGAAGATAGAAGACACAAGTGGTAATAAACGTAGCAGTGTCAATTTGGTGCAGTGATTTAAGGGGCTGGCCTAGAAAGCAGAAAACTTGAGCTTTAATTCTGCCTTAGGCATGAAAACCAGCTGGGTAACTTTGGACCGGTCACTCTCTAAGCTCAGCCCACCTCATAGGGTTGTTTTAGGGAAAATAGTAGAAGGAACATTATGTATGTTTACCACCTTGAGTTACTTATAATATGGGATAAAAAAATCTAATAATAAATAAACATCAGGAAGAAAAAGTATGAGAAGCTGGAAAAGTACCATGGCCTGAAGGAGGAACTAGAAAGGATGTGGAAAATAAAGGTCAGTGGCAGCAGGAGCACTTGGGGCTATGACTCCTTAGATGGGAAAGTGGCTCCAACTGATGCAAGGAGTGCTAGAAACAGCGAAGGTACTATGCAGAATCCTCAAACTCCCAGGCCTCTGGTAGAAGACCCAAAGTTAAGGGAAGATACAACTCATACAGGGGAGAATATAATGAAACCATTGCCGTAAGGCAGATCACCTTGCATAAGGTAATATTATTTAAGGTTTCCCAATTTGGGGGTACCATATTATTTAATTAAACTTGAAGTGGGTATCTGATGTGATCAAATAGTCTTATGTAAAAACTCTTCATCTTTCAAATATAGGAATCTGGTAGCACCTTTTCTGACTTAAATTTTATGAAAAGAGCTATGCTTTCATTAGCTGCAGACCTGCTGTTCAAATTCAACATAGGCCTTCATAAATCTGTGGGTATTAAGTTCGCCCTAAATACAGGTATAGTAATGCAAACGTGTAAGGCAGAGGTCTCCAAACTTGGCAACTTTTAAGACTTGTGGACTTCAACTCCCAGAATTCTCCTTTGAAGTCCACAAGTCTTAAAGTTGCCAAGTTTTGGGGACCCCTGGGTAAGGTATAAAACCTACAAAGCGAACGCAAAGGCTCTGAGTTTAGATTTGGCACATTCACTTCCTCCGCCCATCCCACTTTCCCCTTTCTTCCTCATTGGCTCCTTAGGCACGTGCTTTGAAACAAACGGATTTACGAAATAGAGGCGTGGCCTTGCGTCAATTCTCCGCGTCATTAATTTTTTTTTTTTTTAAACCCAGGCGAAAAAAACTGGCTTGTCAAGAGCCGGGCAAAATTGAAAGGCGAAGCCCAACAGCAGAGCAGGGCAATGATATCATTGTAACGCGACTATGGGGAAGTGGGCGGCGCGGCTTCAGAGCAGGAAGGTGAAGGGGGGAAAAACGCGGTGGACGGTGGCCGCTTGAGAACGTACCACGCAGGAAGCGAAGCGGTGTTGGGAATACTTAAATTACGCGGTGAGAATTCCGCTTGTTTTGCCTTGGTAGCTTCCCTTCTTTGGTTTGACTATGCCGGCTTTATTTCTCCACGAGGCCCTTTTTATGCGGCTCTGCCTTCGGACGTAAATCTCACTGAGGTTCATGGAGATTGCACTCCGATAAACCGTTTCTACGTTTGTTGTGCAGAAAGGCAGGTGTTCTGGGGGTGGGCGAATAACGCGATCCGTCTCGAGGGCGACATGGGACACCTTGTCTATGGAGACTCTCAGTCATCCAAGGTCATGGTTGTCCCAAAGGTGCTTTTTCAAGAGGCCACTTTCAAAGAAAAAGTCCAGTTGCCTCTTGAAAAAGCACCTTTGGGATTAGACACCTTGCTTTGCAGCGTGTGAACCGGCTGACACGGCTCCTCCCTCTGAAATGCAGAACCGAACGCTTTGGAGAGGCGCTGGGTGCCAGCGATTCCCCCGACACGTGTGCGCTTCGCTTGCCTCGAAAGCGGGGGCCACGCCGCGCTATTTCCCACTATCTCTTAAGTCATCGCGTGGGTGTGGTGGGTGTTGGCAGGTTTCCTTTAAATCTAAGAAGCGAAAGGTGATTCCATGCTGTAGCGGCTTCTTTGAGTTTCATTTCTCCTAAGCCGCGTGGGCAAGATCTGAATTTCCATCTCAAAGCATATTCGGTGACTGGGCTGTTCACATTTTGTTCCCTGCCACTCCAGAAGCAAGGAATCCAATTGTTGAGATTGTATTGTATTATTGAGCATGATTGATTGTGTGTCATCAAGTCATTGTCGGCGCCAAGTGACAACGTAGATAGATTTTGTCTATGAGCATTGACCATAGAAAAGGGCAATATAACATGTGACAGTTGTACCGTTGGTTTCATTAAGAAAACTTGGCCTGAAAAGAAAAATATGGATACTGCTGTTTAAAACAGTTGCAAACTCTGAAAATAGGTCTTGCATCCTGTTTTGAAGTGGAAATATTAGAGTAGTTGCTCAGCTTGTCATTTTGTACTGTAGAGAAGTGCATACAACTTTTTAATTGGATGGTCCCATTCTTGTACAGAGGCTTCCAAGGTTGTATATAAGACCTGACATAAATTGGGCTTCATGCAACTGTTTCTATAAGACATATACTTTTTAAGGTATGGAAAATAATTGTGTTTATGCATGGATCCAAAGCAATAGGGGATATAGATGAATATAACTGTCTGGTTTGGTTCTGCAACCCAACAGGACAGACACAGACTACATTAGGACTGCAGAAAAAACAATTACTACCCACCTGCCTTCAATTGAGGACCTGTATACTGCACGAGTCAAAAAGAGGGCTGTGGAAATATTTACAGGCCCCTCACATCCCAGACATAAACTGTTTCAACTCCTTCCCTCAAAACGACACTATAGAGCACTGCACACCAGAACAACTAGACACAAGAACAGTTTTCCCCCGAAAGCCATCACTCTGCTAAACAAATAATTCTCTCAACACAGTTCAACTATTTACAAAGTGTACACCACTATTACTGTTAATCTTCTCATCACTCCTTATCACCCATCACCTCCCACTTGTGATTGTAGGACTGTAACTTTGTTGTTTGTATCCTTACGATTTATATTGACTGTTTTCTAGTATGATTTGATTGTTGATTGTACCCTATGACTATCATTAAGTGTTGTACCTTATGATTCTTGATTCTTAACGAATATACCTTTTCTTTATGTATACTGAGAGTATTTACACCAAGACAAATTCCTTGTGTGTCTAATCACACTTAGCCAATAAAGTATTCTATTCTATTCTATTCTATTCTATTCTATTCTATTCTATAGCAGAGTTAACCTTAAGATGGGCAGCAAAACCCACTAGAGCCTTTTAAATGGAGGCTTTCATTTTTATCCATTTTTCAGCCATCCCTTGAGAAATGTCAGGTAATATAAAACTTTCTAGAAGTGGTACATGTTGGGGAATGCCTTGTCACATTATTTTCAGTATCCAGGGTCTTTAAACCACCTCTGTGTCTTCGAACAAGTATGTAAGTGAAGTCTACATTTTAAAGAAATGTTCTGATAAAAAAAATCTAACTCTAGTGAAATTAAGCAAGGAATTGCTACTGAGTCCACAAAGCATTGTTGTACTTACTATTGTACTTATTTTTAAAGCAATAGTTGAGACAGTGACATTTATGTTGCCATGTACTGTCCTTGAAAATATTTAAGGGTAATTTTAGTTTCACATGGTTTACTGTTAATATGATATGATATGTAGGTCTTTGTCCTGCTTTGGCTAATTTATTTTATTTAATTTACTTCAGATGAATCATGTCCAAAGCAGGGGTCATTCGTGTGGGACTTGGTATAGTTCTTGGAGCAGCTGCAGGATTAGGTCTCATCTTTTATTTCTATAAACAGAAGAGAAAGAAGCCCAGTCAGAAAAACAATTCAAGATATCCAGTTGTACATTGTCAGCAAAATGCTATGCATGTTCATGAACAGGCAGAAACACTTCAGCCTTATAATCAGGGTAAGTTAATGATTAATTTATTTTGCATTTTTAGTTATTCAAGATTGTACTTATGCAGAGTAGTAGGATATATTTTTCTTCCTAGCATTTTTCCCACAAGTGCAGGGGCTGCTTTTTTTTTTTTTTTTTTAGAGATCAACTATATGTTGATCAGGGGTGGGATTCAACCGGTGTTACTCCTGGTTCATTGACTTCGTTTTGCGCACGATACATTCCAAAAGATAAATTTGGGCTCTGATTTCTCAATTCAGGCCCATTTCTCTGGGTTTCTGTGTGAGATTTCTGTATCTATCTGTGAAATCGGTCCCTTTCTTGCTGCTTGAATGAGTTCCAAGACTTTTGGTAATTAGTATGCCTAAAAGCATAAAATTGTATAACTGAAACATAATAAAAATATTGTAAAAATAAGCAAAATAGATAAAAGAACTCATTTTAGATAAAATAATGATTTTGACTAATTTCTGAAGTGAAGCTAATTATTGCTAATCTGGTCTTTAGAAGAAGGTCCTCCATAAGGCAGTGCCCACTAGTTATGAAACAGCTTCTCCGGGCTCCTTAGCTCATATGAACAGCAACTCACAGCATTCCTTCTTGGACAAACATGTAGGACAGTTCAGGTCAGTTGTACCTGTAGAAAGTGGCGGTACTAGAACCTAGGAACCAAGCCATTTAGGAATTTATTAGCAATCAGTGTGGTACTCACAATATCAGTGTAATGACTCTCAATGCCCAACACAAATCCTCCTAAATAAAGAGAAGATTCAATAGCTTTCAGCTGTGTGTATGGCATCAGAGGACTGCTTAGGATAGTCCATGGGCCACTGTGGAAAACCTGAACCTTGCCAGATAGATGCCCTTCCTAAGGCATGAAAATTAAGGCTCTGCAACAAGATCCATTAGCATGCCAAGAGATCTTCCTCAGAATACGGCAGTCAGTATATGAACAGGAACCCTATGCTGTCCCTACACTGATCTAACACAGATATTCGTACCCCATCAGCCCCAGAAGTATGTCACACAGAAATTTAAATTGATATTTGTTTACAGTAGATTAAAAATAACTGGATGTAAAGTTAGGATTTGGGGCCAATTGATCAAATGCATATGTGCAGCTTTGTGTTTTGTCTACATACCTAAAAATTTTAAAAGTAACTACTAGCCACAGTTTTGTGCAGTATAAATGAAGTAACTTTATGCTAATTATTTTTCTCATACTAGTTCCCTGGATGAGACCAGAACCAGTGGAGGGTGGTGACAGCGTTCCATATACATCTCTTCTAACACATGAAGAGCAGGCTGAAGTATTGAACCGTCTTGATTTTGTGCTCAGAAGCCTTATAGAGTTGCGACATGAGGTGAAAGAATTACGAGACAGCCTACAGAGTTTAGCTGGAGAAATTATTGGCGAAGTCAGGTGTGTATCTGTTTTTCCCAGATTCGGAGCTACAGAAGATTCCAGGTAGCAGAATCCAGAGACTATTGGTCAAGATTTATGTGAGATTACAGGGATTACTCTTGCTGGTATCTGCAGAACAGCTGGTTTCTTAGTGTAACCTTATTAATGCTCCCTTCGTATATAGCTTCATTTTTATTTTTTAGCTGAAGAAAGAACAACCTAATAATTCTGAATGTCAGAATAGTTGTATCAGTTACAATTATTGCTTCATTTTGTAACAGTGTAAGAAATGGGACACTCTTTTCTAAAGAAAGGATGTTTAAAAGAGGCAAAGTTTTTCTTTTAAAGCTGTACATGCTATTTTAATCTGAAACAAGAAGTTTCCAAATAATGTTGGGTTTAATAGCTTTTTGCTGAATTCAGCTTTTTGTTCATATCCTTTCTTTTATTTTGAAGTCTCCCTGCTTCTTTCCTTCTTATGCTTCATTCATTTAAAATTTTAGGGTCAAAACCATGAAGTAATACTTCCCATTTTCCTGTTGCAATCATCCTTTGGGAAGTTATTGGATAATGTTTATTTCTCTGGAGAAATTTGAATAAGTTGTTTCCCTCATTTTTTTTCTGCTCAGAAAAGTGTAGAATTGCAAATGACTTGCTTTATTTAAATTAACTAACTTTTGATGGCCAGCAGATGATGACATGTGTATAAAATGCAGAGCATGATCTCCAGGGAGTTTCTAACTCATGATACAAGTATAACATGTCACAGAGTCTGAGCAAAAGCTAGATTTTTACCCCATGTTTATCTAATACTGAAGAGGCTCAGAGAACAGATGACATGCTTTTAATTCATGATCAGCATTTTTGGGGAGCAACTGTTTCCCTAGTATGAGAATACAGTCATGAAGGCAAGTTAGTATTTAAAAAAATATTCTGAGAATATTTTCCTAGAATATTTGAAGGTTTTTCTCAGTGGTAGCCACCTGTCCCAGCAGGTTAGATCATGTTCCTGTATTTGTTTTCTGCCAATTGAAGATTTTTCTTTTTATATAAGCATGTGCCCTTTCTGTTTAATTTTATTTGCTGACTATGGCATCTTAACTTTTATAAATGTGTTTTAATAATTTACATTTTGTAAGTTATGTTCCAATTTTTAAAGGGTAAAAGCAAAGCATACATTTTGAGTGTGTGTGTGTATATATATAAAATGAGTTGGGAAAATAAAATGAGTTGGGACGCATTTTGAATTGTATTAAACAGAACAACAAAAATTGTTTTGATAGGCAAAACGAAATAGACTATCGATTATTATAAGGTTTCATAGTGTCATTCCATGCCAATCTGTAACTTTGCAGGTCTCATCTAGAAGAAAGCCAAAAGGTTATTCGGCGGAGGCGTTTTATATATCCCAGAGAAAGAAGTGATTCCACAGGATCCAGCTCAATATATTTCACAACCAGTTCAGGAGCTGGCAACACCGACGATGGAGAAAGTGAGGGGGGGTAAGGAACATTTCGTTTAGAGCAAGGAATAGTTAAATGTAATTTGGCTGATCAGGAGATAAAGGTAGTAGTAGACAATTTAATTTGCATTTGCAGTCAAAACATCAAGGGTAAGGATGAAAATGAGAATTATGTTTTTTCTCTCTCATTGACTCAATGTGGACAACTTAAGCAGCATTTCTGGAAGTGATTTGCCCTTGCCTCCTTCCTAGGATTGAGAAAAAGTGATCAGCTGGCTTAGTGCTTAAGGGAGGACTAGAACTCCTAGTTTCCCAGTTTCTACTTTACTGTCTCTAACCTACATCAAACTTTCTTTGGATTAATTAATGTTAATATAAACATTTAACATTAAGGAAGGAACCCTAATATTTTAGGTGTGTTTTTCTGATACATCTTTGTCATATGTTCAGTGGTATCAGAATGGTAATCAGGTATGCATGTTGTGGCTAAAAAATAATAGTTCCCAGTCAGGTTTTGAGGTAATTAGTACTTAATATTTTTAGGTTTACTTTTGACATATTAGCTACATTTCCATACAGGGTAAGCTATGAGTTTCCAGAAGACTTGATGACTGAAACAGTTACATGTTTCTATATGCCACACATTTGTGCCCATTAGGCTATTTCTGCTTTGGCCAACATCTGAAAATGAACTGGATTTTCAAACTGGGTTACTCACTTGCTCTTTAAGAAGCCAGGATTCATAAGTCAGGAGCATGTCTTGGTTTGCCACCTTTAAGAAATACAAAATAATCTTAGAAAATATGAAACAATGTATGATTAAAATGTCTGATAAAATAGCTATCGTAATTCAGTGGAATGCTTGTCAATAAATAAATGTAACAAAATGAATATTTAATGATTTACAAAACATGTGAAGAGAAATAAGGGAAAAATTAATGATGGAGATTATATGTGTTTTTAAGGAAGTATGATATTTAATTGAAAAGAAGTATTAAAGATGTTAAGATTTTAATGATTATTAATGATAGAACTGAACTGGAATGGGATGAGGGTTTATAATTACATATATTTACAATCTTTTTTAAAAAAAAGAATATAGCGTGTATTATAAGAATGTACCAAGCAGAATTCGATTGGAAGTTATGTATTATGTATTATATTGAAGGACATAACCTTAAGGTATATATTGAAGTTTAAATAAGAGTTGAATGGATGTAATTAAAAGATACAAAGGTGTCATACTCCAATTAGTAACTACAGGAGAAAATTTGTTTAATGAGAAAAGATAATATGAAATTGAAACAGAACAGACAAAAGTATAAATATAATGACTTGAATTGAGATGAGATAATCAAAATAAAATTGAGAAAATTAAAAGAGGGGAAAAACTATATAGAAAATGTAAAATAGTATAAGATATGGAATAGAATACAAAAAGGAGCATGAAATTGAGTTTTGTGTCTGTATAAAGAAGTTCAACCCGGGACCATGCTATTTTCAAAAAAGATGTTTTCTTTGTACTTTGTATGTGTGAAAACCCAAATAAAACTTTATTAAGAAAAAAGGAGAAATACAAAAAGCCAAGAACCAAAATTCAAATGATATTGACTTACTTGTTAGTTTAGTGGTTATATTAAAATAGTAGAAGCCAGTTAGAATGAGTGGGACACACTGCTTGCTGTGAATTCCCCAAGTTCTGGCTTATAGTTGAATATGAATTTAGATATTGGTTACTTGATATTTAAATTCTGCATGCGCTTGACATGGAAGTATAAATACTGTGTTTTCTTTAAAGATATACTACGGCCAATGCAGAATCGGATTATGATAGGGAATCTGATAAAGAGAGTGATGAAGGAGAAGATGAAATCAGTTGTGAAACAGTTAGAACTGGAAGAAGAGATTCCTTGGACCTTGTCAATGAAGATGAAGCAACACTGAATTTGGACACTGTTTCAGAAGAAGAACTTGCTCAGTTACTGCACCAAGCCGATAGCTCACACAGAGGGACTGACCAGGAGAAGAGAGAAGGTTTCCAACTACTGCTTAACAATAAACTTGTGGTAACTCTTAATTGATTTTTTTCTGGAGGAAAAATGTGTGTGAATTAACATGCAGAGAAGAATACAGGAGTTGTGCAAAGTCCTATCTAAACCATATCAATAATGAGACCAAGCAACTAAATGCAAACTAACGATTGCTCTTGTAAGCAATTAGAATCTTCAATGTGGCTGAGACTTGGCTTAATTGAAGTACATTTGTTTCCTGTATATTAAATAATTTAATAGTAAATATTCTAAGGCTGATAAAAGTGAAATTCGAACTTCTCTATGTCAATAGCAAAGCTGTCATCAGACTTTTTTCCCACTAAAGATTATTCTGCAAAGTTATATATCCAAGCTTGTTTTATGTTTCCAAAAAGGCTATATGTTAGATTTTATAATATAAACAAGAAAAATAGTTAAATACTTAGGATAAAAATCCCAAATTTGTTTATAGAGAAGGAATCTCACCTTGAGTTTCTTTTCTTCCTCTATGGAATTTCCTTAAGTGCAATTACATCTGTATTATCCTTATCTTTTTCTTTTATAAAATGCACAAATTATTTATTGTCCTTAATAAACGAACAGCATTCCCACAAAGGGGTCTGGTCTTTAAGCCTAATTAATTTTGCTATTTTAAAAGATACTTTGTCAGAAAAAAAAATTTTTTAAATTACATTTTAAAATGTGTTTTTTAAATTTTTTTTTAAAAAATTATCCGTTTAAAACTTACTTGGATCACAAACTTGTTAAGCTTTTTGTTTTTAAATCAAAATCCACTAAATATGTTTCCCATTCGTTATTTCAAAAATAAGGTGTTCACTGAGAGTCTCATCTTCCACTTGCCTTTTGGAATCTTTATCTTAGGTTGTAAAATAATTAATTATTAAGATGCTTAAGAAAATGGGGCTTTTGCTGGTCAAATAACTATTAAGGCCTCATAGAGCTTAAGGGCACATTGTAGTTCCCTCATTTTTCAACCTGCTCAATTAGTGTTTGATCATGAGAAACTAAATTCCTGTGATTGCCTCATGAGGAACAGTTCTTCCATTGAACAAGTAGGTGATCCCCAGATCTCTCCTTCTCTTTGAAGAGATTTTCATCAGCCAGAACCTGACTCCTGGTTGGCAGTTTCACCACAGTGCTATCCTTGCTGGCGGACAGGGAGTTTCAACTGCCATCATTCCTTATCTAAAAAGCCAATCCTCACCCAGAAACTGGAATAATTCTACTTTTCTCTTATATTTGATATAAAAGAAGCCAAAACATTTTTGTACTTCAAACAAGTGGAAGAGGGTTTTATTTAATTATTGATTTTACAAAGTCTATCTTTTAATGCAAATCTTTGCAAGCATAATTTAGCCCTGAAACAATGTGCTATATGGTATAAGTGCCATTTACCTTAATCTAGAATAAATGAAATGCAAACATACAAATTGGTATTCATTCTGTCTATACAGTATAGTGACAAGCAGGATTTCCTTTGGCGTCTGGCCCGAGCTTACAGTGATATGTATGAGATCACCGAAGACATAGAGGAGAAGAAATCATATGCATGTGACGGTAAGAAGAAACTTTAATGGATTTTTTTTTTATCAGTTAAATTCAACGAGACAGTTATTCACCTAATCTGGAAAACATTTTCTGGAAATAACATTTTACTGAAATTTATTCATGTTGTTATAAAAACAATAACCTTAAAAATGGGTAGATTGAAAAGAGTTCAGATGAACAGAAAACAATATTGCTTCACAATGCTGCTGTTATCTTTACTCAAATATATTGTATATTTGTGCTAGCTCACACTTCTGATTTTTGGCCGATCTGTAGGCAGCTTTTCAGATTTCTGAACATACAATTATCTCATAGTCATCCAGCTACCTTTGCCTCTTATGCTGTCTCCTCCAGTAATTGGCCAATTGTTTCTTATATTAGAAATTGTATATATTTTATACATAAATCAAAATTCCAGCTTTGATTGGCTTTGATATGGCTTTGACAGTTATAATGATAGTTAAATTCTTATATGGTAGATAGTATTTGCTAAAGTAGCACATTGCAAAACGTACAGATTTTTAGGCATTTTATATGACACCCCCACCCCCAGCATTAGATAATAAATATGTAAGATTTCATATAGTGTTAAATCTTCCTTTGACAAAAATTGAAAAATTGGGTTATATTTGCAGGCAAAGAAGAGGCCGAAATGGCTCTGCAATTAGGAGATCAAAATGCTGACTGTCACCAATGGTATGTAATTATTTACTTTATATAGATAAGGGAAGAGAAAAGTTATTTAGAAAAAAAAACACCCTTTAACAGGAAAGCTGCCCAGATCAAGAGTCTAAATTATGCAAGATGAAATTACCCTCCTCCAGTGAATATTTGTTCATTTGGCAGGAGAGTGAGTTCACTGATAGCCCTGATTATTATTACTGATAGTCCTCTACCTACAACCATTCAATCAGGGACCATTTGAAGTTACACTGGCATTGAATAAATGATGGTTACTCAGTCCTCAGTTCTGGCCATCCCAGCATCCTTACAGTCATGTGATTGCGATCTGGGCACTGGCAACCAATCGTAAGCCCCAGAATCACATGATCTCCATTTGCAACTTTGGGCTCAGAGTCACACATTACTTTAGTATTCCCCATTGTGTGCCTGCTTACTCTGTTGTAATTCCTGCTTCTTCTTCAGTGAATGTAATATTAATACATTAATTCCCCTCTTACTGATTATCCCAGTATCCAAGTGAGCTTTCCAGAGGACGGAGGAGTGAGAGTAAGGAAAGGTGAAGAAAAATTAAACCAGGTCATTTAGTGATTGAAGTTGCTGATCCCAATTGTCAGTAAACAAGAACTACCTGTACCAGATATTATTTCTAAGGGCAATGTTCCTTTTTGGCAGTGTAACGCATGAAAAATGTGTCTTCAAACAAGTCTGGTACCTGATTTATATATAAGACACTATATTAGTTATACTGTTTAATCACATACTTTAGAAACATGCAAAAGGGGTCAAAACTCTGGGACAACTCTGAAATACATAGCGGTTGCCTAATTTGCTGAATTGTCAATATGTAAATTCTCAAAGCTAGCAAGAGAAAGAAAATAGAATTCCCTTTCTATGTTAGGATGTCTGTAGCCTTTGCATTCCTTAAAAACTTGTCTGATTTAAAAACCAAGATGGGAGGTTGCATATTTGCTTTGGCTTCAGAAATAGATGTTTTAAGAAGAGTTGGAAGTTCAGCTGGAACATTATGGGATTTTAGTAATCTCTTGAGAAAAAAAATGCAGATGTAACAACATCAGGTTATTCATTTTATTTTCAAAATATTTACTGAAAGCTTACAAAGCTGTCTGCAGTACAAAAAGACTGAAGACTGGCCTTCAGGCTAAATGGAGTTCTTGTATGGGGATATATTGCTTTAGAGTCTTAGAAGGATAGAGATGTTTATTTAGAAACACTGCAGCACTTTAAGCCTTCCAAGGCTGAATTGCTTCTAAATAATATCTTTATATTTTTGTGAATTTGAATTTAAAATATATTAATATTTTTCTTAAATATTTTAACAACTGTAAACTGCTCAAAGTTGCTGAGAAAGGCAACGTGTAGGTTTAGTACAGTGGTGCATTTCAAAATAGTTTACCACCAGTTTGGTGGGCATGGCTTGGTGGGCGCGCACTTTGCGCAGGTGCAGAGGTTTTCCGACTCACCTCCTGCAATCATGCACTCTCCCTGTTGCTTCAGCAGCTGATACATAGCAATCTGCTATGCTACGCAAAGCAGCTGTGCTCCAAAAGCAGGGAATAAAGGCCAGTATGGGAGCCTGGGCTGGCGGGTGGGCCCAACAGCAGCTCCTCAGAGAGAACCGGTTCGGTCTCTGCTGATCTTCGGCACTACTGGTACGTCAGAACCAGGCCGAAACGGTAGAATACCACCACTGGTTTAGATGATGATGATGATGATGATGATGATGATGATGATGATGATGATTTTGATTCCGGGGATGTTGATGTTTTAAGAAGAACTGGAAGTTCAGCTAGAACATTATGGGATTTTAATAAACTCTTGAGAGAAGAAGATGCAGATGTAACAACTGATTATGCTATCAGTTTTTATTACTGTTGACATATTTCAAAATCATCTTGCTTGTTTTTCATCATCTGAACTTTAATATATAGATAGAAACTTTTCTGTTTAAGCTCATGATACTTTGGCTAAGGACAGTTTTTTACCATCTTACTGAAGTACAAATAGCATCCCAGGGGTCCATCATGTAGTACCTTTTCCATAGCCGATCATTCATTTGCTCTTCCTACTCTTTTTAGTCATATTCAATTCACTGGAAGATGGATGAGAACACACCTTAAACAAGGTCTTCTGCCTATGGTTTCCTATACTCTTAATCATTATGTCATTCTGCGCTCCATGTTGGAATTGGGTGTTGGTTCTGGTGTCCTTGTAGGTGCTTAGAAATTACTATCCTTGACACATCTACACAAACAAGGAGGTTGGAAAACCATGTTTCTCATTCATCTGAAGCTTGTCACTCCATTTTATAATGTCCACTGCATTAAAAAGTGACTGGCTTCATGGAAAAACAATTAAATGTGATGATGAAATGTGGGCGATGAAAAGAGTGAGATAAGAAAAGATAGAGCTTGCATCACAATGCATGTTTCATGATTCTGATAAAACCTCCAGACAGACTATAGACATCTGTGTTGGTTCCTGCATAGGAAATGTCATACAGAGAGACAGAGAAAAAAAAACATAACAAAGTAAATGGGCTGGAAACTTTTGTGATTTTCCCCCAATGGGTTCTTCTATTCACTGCTGTTTTATTTGTTTTATCTGTGCCATTTTTATAGTGGGTTGTTCTGCTGAGATTTTCAGACTTTGTGTCATTGTTGATCTTCAACGATCAAAAGCCTACTGTGATGTACTTACAAAGAATGTAAAAGAAATAAGCCTTCTCTAACAGATGTTGCAGTTTCATAGGTTCAGTCACTCTGTGGTCTGCGTTGGGTGTTAAAGTTCCAATCTTCTGAAGCAAGTGATAAGCCCTCCTGCTTCTCCCTATAGTCCTCAGCACTGGCTTTCCTATGAAAATCCAGGGTTATTTAAAATCAGTGTTCTCTTTATGTTCCAAACAAGAATCTCTTGCTGAAACCCAGTGTATAACCACTTTTCTACCCTTGGAGCTCTTGAGATGTTAACAGTCTGAAATAAAATATTAACAAATTTTAGACATGAATGAAAACAAATTATTATTATTCTAACTCTGGAAATCTGGTTGAATCACAAATGGAAAAGTTCTCAAGGTGTATCTTCCATAACTTTCAATTGTTGATTCTTCGAGCACTATATTTTCTGGGGAAAATTAAAAAATATGATACTAAATATGGGAACAAAAAGGGAGGACATCTCAAAATTGTATAAATTATGACTTATAGTCCAAAAGCGTCATAAAAGCTAATTTGGTTTCTCTGTGTACTGAGCCAGTTACTTCAGAAAATGATTTATAGTACTCAGTACACATTAGAAAAGTATTTTGTGCATTTTGGAGAGCTGTTCAGATGGGTAATGAATAAAAATAGAGACTAAAAATCAGTCATTTAAATTTGGAATATCCTCATGATTAATATATTTTTGGCTAGCTAAGAAGTAGCCAGATAAGATCAGCTATATTTGTTCATGGCCTTCTAACTTGCATTATGTTGCTTTAACTGCCAAAACCTGGTTTGGGGGTTGCTAATTCTGCATTTGAATAGTCTTGCTTTGTCTTATTCGAATAAGAACTTCTATAATTTTATTTTGCAATTTAATATTTTGCTTTATTTTAAATACTTCTAGGTGGTTAGCCAGCCACCTGTTGGCTAAATGAATGGAATGTAAATATTCTGTTTTGTTAAAAAAAACCACCAAACTAAATAGTTCACCATGAGGTCTGTTCTAGACAAGACTGTGTATCTCCTTACAGTCCTAGGTGACTGATTCTGTTTTTTCAGCTGGCCAAAGTTCATGAGAATCTGTTCACTTTGGAGACACACGGCATTGCTCCAAGATCTGAACCATCAGTCTTATGCTGTGGGATAGCAGCAGGGGAGGAAAGAAAGACAAGACTAATGAAACTTTAAATATCTTTCCAGCTTATTTCTCAAGAAGTGAAATTTTATCTGAACCAGTGGGAGAATGTGTGGTATTGACTTTGTTAGCCCATGAGGCTGATTCATTTGGTTGTCCCAGATATTCCTTGCTGTTGCTATGCAGAGTATGGGTTTTGCTTTTGTTTGACACTCCCTGATTTCCTGGCTTGGCCTGGTACCTCAAGCAGGAATAGAAAAAGAAAGAAAAAGTGAGTCGCAGCCTGATCCTACGGTTGAACCTGACTGAGTTTCACTGGGCTTACTCCTGAATACATCTAAGATTGTAGCTTTGAGGTAGAAAATACTTACAGGACTACCGCTATTGAAGAAGCACTGTTGACAGTCACACTAGGTGGATCAAACCAGAAAATAGCTCAATAGGAAACAGCTCCATAGGAAGACCAGAACTACACTTTGAGATTGGCTTTAGCTACAGACTCTTGCAAGTCTAATTGTGCTTCATATTTCTGTTTCTTATACTTCCTCCAAACTTTACCTTTTTTTCCAGGATTTAAATTATGTTTCACACACATTCCTTTGTCTAGCTAACAATTCTTGTGTATTTTTGTCAGTGTTATTTCCCTTACTCTTTATACTGTTCAATTCTTCTTGCTTATTTATTTAGTTGTGTATTTATGATTGGCAAAGCACCATATGCCAGAATGCTAAGACATGTTTAGATAAGTTCATAAAGCACTATAGCTAATAATACAATAAAATAAACCATAAAGCAGTAAAATAGCAATGCCATCACTGCCACAAAGTTTCAGTTGTTCATCTCAGAGGTCTCTGGGAAATAGCCAGGATTCAATCATTCTCTGGAATGTGTGAGCTATTCTAGCATCTGAGATAAGCTTTCCTAAATGAGGGAAGTATTGCAATCTCCAAGAATGTCTGCTTCTGTGTCTCAGTAGTGGCAAGAGCTGTCTCTTCATCCACACATCGGGTGGACTGAATTTACTTGGGATGGGCAGTCTCTAAGATACCCAGCCATATGGAGTTTTTAGGTGATGGCCGTGAAAAAACAAAATGGTAGCCATTGCAGCTTCAGTAGCCAGGTTGTTATGTTTCAGGCTCCAAAAACCAAGAAAGACACGCTGAATGATTTCAAAGCAGCTTCCTTTTATTGTTCTTCACCTATAGACAGAAAGCTTGCCAGACTAAAGCTAACTATTATCCTTAAAGGTATACCCTGAGAATTTGTATGAGGATTATCTTGGCCCTCTTCCTCCCAACCAAACTATCTAAATGTAGCTGCTTCTTGTTCCTCTGGAATGCACCTTCCTCTTGACAATCCAAACAATATTCTACAATTTCATGTGACAATACTCTGTGTGCAATGAGTACCTTTGCAGCCATATTCTGCACCAACTAAAGTTTTCAGGTGTGTTCAAGGGCATCTCCACGCACGGTGAATTGCAGTAAAGAGTGATTGTCTTGGCATATTGCTGTATAATAAGATTTGTCAGACTATTATTATTGGGAATAGACTTTTCCTTGTCTTGGATCCACAGCAAGTGTGACAGTAACGAACTATTGTTTTGGAGGTGCTAAGAGTTCATGTAGGGTTCACCTGGCATTCTCTTTTCTAAACTATTTAGTAAAAAGGTTATTTTTAGTGGCCGTATTAAATTTCAGTATTATTCTAATCATCTTTATTACATCAGCTTAGAAATATTTGAGTTCTTGCAAAAGGAGCTAAAATCTAACATGATTTCTTGAATTTTCGGACCTTTTGTCTCAGTTTGGTTTTCAATGTTATTTAGTTGCTATAAGGGATTAGGGTTAGGTCAGTATTAAAAGGGAAGATTTTTTCTTCCAATCCAACTATAAAAGGAATGATGGTTAATTGTAAGTGTCTATTCTGGCACTGCCCCATTTGAACTGAATGCTGTTGACTTACCTTGTTGAACCAATTGTCACTTTACCTTCAGATATGACATTTATATTTCCTTCAGCCACATTGATCAAAAGTATTAGTGATTATAGAGATTATAGAAATAGAGATTATTTTTTCATATAAAAGAAATGACAAAAATCATTCTGGAAGGGTATTAAAATGTGGCTTTGTCGGTTGGCCTGGGGCTCTGAGGGGGCCACTCACCACTGGAGGGAGTTGACAGAGTAAAAAAATCTCATCCCCATCCAATCTCTTAGTTCTGGTTTCAGTATAGTTTTAAAAATTATAATCTGTAGTTTTAATGTTTTAGTATTGTTATTATTTTTATATTTGTTTTATAACCTGTAAGCTGCCCAGAGTCATCATACAGGGCGGCATAAAAATTTAATAAATATATAAATAAATAAACATTGAAGGTTGTATGTAATATAGCTACTTCTATCCATTTTCTGTTATATTTTTCCACCAAAATGATAGAATGTCTCTGTTTCTGTAGAGGGGATATTAGGTTTAGATTAAGTACTTCACCTCTATACCAGAAAAATAAATACAAAACATAACTGTACTAATGATGAAGTTTGTTGTAATTACTAGGTATGCTATTCTGTGTGGTCAGTGTTCAGAACATGAAAGCATACAAAAGCGCATTCAAGCCGGACATGCCTTTAAGGTAGGTTGGACTGCCTTTTTTTTATCCAAAGGACTTTTTACTGCATAATTCAAGGAACTTTTTACTTCAGGGAAGAAAGAAAGAGTACATTTTGACCAAAGCTTGGGGGGCTTGTAGGAAAGACACCAAGAGTGGAATAAGAATATGTTGCCAATATTACTGATTGATTGTAACCATGCTTTACTTGCAAAATTAATGTATGTGATTATTTTGATTTACAAGTGTAGTCAATATTTACACCAAAAAGCTCCGACATCCATTCCACCCTGTTCTTGCCCCAAGTTTGGAGAGAAATTATTGAAGAAAGAGCCAGTGTACTTAGCAACTCTTCATTCTGTCATAGCCTTAAGCTCTATTATTCATGGAGCCTTTTTCAGTCCAACATTTCTTCCCTGGCAGTCGGAAAATATCTTCCTTTCTCTAAAGGATGATAAAATACAATTTAAGGCAATTGAGAAAGATGTTTATATTTCATCTTCAGTGTAGACTAGGGTATTAGCAAGTGCTATAGTACTATATTTTCTAGAACAATTGCTTTAATTTAATAATTACTTATGCATGAAATTCTTGAATGCTTGTACTGAATTTAAGCTTTTGAATGGTATTTCCTAATTTAATGCAAATGAAACAACTCTTTTGCCTGTGTGATTTTGTTTTGCTTTTTCTTTAGAAACATATAGATGAAGCCATTGCTCTGAAACCAGATGATCCCATGTCTTATTATCTCCTAGGCCGGTGGTGTTACCAGGTAGATTATTTTCATCGCTGTGGTTTTTTTTTAAAATCCTGAGCCATCTTACTAAATAATTTTGCCTGCATGCAGAAAATAAAAGATTGAATGCCTTAGAGAAGTTTTGTATTTAAAAGTCTGGAATTGGTCATCAATTGTTAGCTACTGATAGAATTATCAGAGAAATGCTGAGCTTCATTGACTGGTTCAATGATTTGAATTTGCCATGTTATAGATATGGGTAGATCTGTACTGATAGTGCGTCAGTGTCAGAAACTATGCAACCTAGTTCTGACATATAAAGGAAAAACCATCATGTAGTGTCTTTTTAAAAAATCTTCTTTATCTTGTAATTGGCCATGTGATGCAACACTGAAGTGATGCAACATAGCAAACAGTTTAAGAAAAGTTAAATTGCAGCCTTTGCAATGTGCAGCATGAATGTTCAATGCTTCATGATGATAAGACAACACACACTTGTCTCCTAATTTGTCAATGTTCAGGGTTCCAAAAATGTCTAAGTTACTTAATTTTTTTTAAATAAAATCTTAATTGTTGACAAAAACATGCTTCACTTAGTAACGATACATGATTTAAAGTTTGCTGACTTTAACCAGTTTAAGAGCCAAATTCATATTCTGGAATTTTTTGTATTATGTGTGTTGAAATTGATGCAGGCCATAAGCAGATAAACATTTTAGTAGTTCTTATTTGCCATGTTTAAGAATTAAAAAAAAAAATTTGTGAAAGTTGGGTGGAGGGTTTTTGGCCACTGTGGATGGTTTTGTAATACTTTTTATTCCTATGTATTATTTGAATTAGCAATATTTCTGATAATCGATTACTTTTTTAGTATAATTTATTTTCTTTTTGCCAATTAAATGCAAAAAGAGTAAAACAATATTTGATGGAAGCAAGTCAAGTGACGACAAAGCAAAAATCCTAGACAGTTTTGAGTTTCAATCTTTTGATCATTGAAAAAGTTTTTAAAATACTCTTTACGACTTTTTCCTGCTTTTGCTCCATAAAGACAATCACCTCCTGTCTTTTGAGAACATATGGATATGATTAGGATCCTACCGAGAACTCCAGGGCTTTTGCATACAGTGTATTTGTAAAATCCTTTACATGCATTTTTCTTTTGCCCTTTTATTGCAAATAAATATGGCATTTATTACATTAAAGCATATATCATCTTTATATTGTTCAATGGAATAAAAAATAAAAATAACTACTGTCATTTTCAGTTCTGGACATGTATATAAAAAGCAAAAATTCAGTATGTCTTTAACCTTGATTAAAAGGAGCATATATTCCCCACATATTTCCTATATAATATGTTAGAGAAGGAAGGGTAGTCTTGATATTTAACCTCTTGAACAAAGGATTGTTAGCAGGAGGAAGTAGTGGCCCCATCCATTCTTACACATGTGGCAGTACTTGTTAAGTATTGAGACATAGGTGTCTACTGCTATACATTTAAAGAAATATATGACTTGAAGAAATACTTTGAACACTTTGTTAAATGTGCTGGCATACTTCCCAATAAACTTGTCATCACCTTTAGAATTTTTTGATGATTAAAAAAATATGCAAATTGTGTTCATTGATTTCATGAGGAACCCTCTGCTAAATAAAAGTGAACCAGTTTGCTTGCCAAGTTTTATGAAATTTGCTTAATTGTTTTTCTGTAGGTTGCTCATTTGGGATGGCTGGAAAGGAAAACTGCTTCTGCTTTATATGAAGAACCTCCCTTAGCCACTGTCGAAGATGCACTGCAAAACTTCTTAAAGGTATTTAGGCTGAACAAAAACTCAAACTGATTAGTTACAATAGTTTTGCAGAAGCCTTAAGTAAAAGGTACCATACTAAAGTTGGACATTGTCATTATATGCCAGTGACAATCATTGGCTCATTATATGTGTGTGCCAGGCTTATGTGAACAAAAGTAAGATAAGGTATGACACTATGTTCTTGTGTAAATAACTTGATTGTACATAGCTTTAACTTAAGGTATTTCATATTATGACATATTGACAAGTTGAAATATTTTGTTCTAGTTTTCAGTAAGGCCTAATGAAAGGCTTAAAAAAGCCAACTCTTGTAATATTTTTCTTCTATCCCTTATTTTTTATTTTCAAGGTACTCACACTAATTCAGTCAAAGTTCTTAAATTGTAGGTGTTGTAGATAATGTAGATGATATTACAAATTAGTTAATATGTGGATTGAGTTGATTCATTTTTATATTTTATGAGTGGATGAATGGATTCATGTTTATATTTTATGTAGATTGTCATTCTTTCTTTTTTAATGACATTGCCAAAAATCTAGCTGACTATAATTTGCTACATTGCTTGATGTATCACTCCTTATTTACTTACAACCATCTCTGGAGTCTTATATATTCTTTCTGGGTAGACTACAAGGGCCTCTGTTACGGTTATTGCTCTTCCTTTCTGAGTTTCTTTTTCTTCTCTGTTGTCTATTGCTTGAAATGTTTTCTGGCTTATCTTTTTGCATTCCTCTGCTTTCCTGGGCTCATTTCTTAAAGCCCATTATTTATCCTAGGTCTCCTTTCATTTTTCTTTTCTTTTCTGTAACATGTTTTGTTTGATTATTAAAGTTATACATCATAGACAGGACACAGGGGACCTTAAATTTGTAGGGTTTGGCAGTGTTAGCCCATTGATACTTATACACATTTAAATTAATGTATCATGCAATTAATGCACAGCAAAAATATGCAAGCAGTGTGTAGTATATTTCTTTTATTTATTGATTACAATAGTAAAACAAACATACAAAACTAATTGTAAAAAAGCACATTTCTGACTAAATTCAGAAAAAAATAAAGAATAACATATGCAAGGAAAGGAAAAGGAGAAAAATACATATTTTTAAAAGGTGACTTCTAATTTTCATCACAAGTATAAACAAATAACACTTCAGCCCCTGAAAGGTTGCAAACAAATGTTTCTTCTTCCCATAACCTATTCCTGGTGTCAGCAAAATATCTATAGTGGGTTACTAGAGATTTATAGAAACATGTCTTATTTTAGCCTTGGTCAGACAAACCAAATCCTGGAGTATTTCAAATGTCATAATGTTTTGTGTTATTTTTAAAGATTCTAGCACTAACCAAAAATCAACAGCAAGATTGGTTCTCCCCCCCCCCCCCCCCTTTTCTGCTTGGAATCTTTAAGTCCCCTCTAGGGAGAAATTTCTGAGATGATTTAGAATAGACAAAACAATTTAGTTCACATGAAAAGCTATTTATTTATATAATTATTTTTAAGATCTTATAGTGAAAATCCAAATAGTCCAAATTTGTCTAGTCTCTATTTTGTTTATAACTTTATTAGATCAAAATCTTATTATTTTTTTGCCATTTATTTCCAAGTCTATAAATTATTAAGCTTATGGTTATTTTTTCTTTTATTCAAGAATGAAGGAAAATTCAACAGGTGGTTTTTCAAACTCATTTTAAAGATCTTTGTTAGCCTTAAGATAATTAAACCAGTAATTTCCAAAAGTATTTAGGAAGAGAGGTTAGCAAATGCGGAGCCCACTTTAAAAGGCTCTGCTGCATGATGGCTAATCTCTTCATCTCCCAGCACTCCTGAGGTTTCCTCATGAGGGGCAGCCATCTGGTGCATATGTGGGTAATCTCCCATCCTTTCCTTATCTGGAGAGGTTGGTCTGCTTGCCATTTTTTCTGTGTTTACTGTAGTAGTTTTCTCCGCTCACTTGCCAATGTGCTAATTCTACATTCTTCCTATGGAAGTCCATAGCAAATAATGTATTTCTGTGCACATCAGCTGGTATGTTGCTCATTTGTGTCTCTATAATGATATGGTTTTGGCAGATAGAGTTCTGGCTTCAAAATTGGTATGACACAAATGAAAGTTTACAAGATCTTTCTTTTCTACTACAATAGGCCTACATGATTTCCACTCCTGAAATGGTACCATACTTTGCATTCTATATATAGGGAAAGGGAATTAAATAAGAAGAGCTGTATATCGAAAGTTTTAACATATTTTAGTGATGATTTTGACTCTCTTTATTTTCTTTTTGCCTGTCTTATAGGCTGAAGACCTAAACTCTGGTTTTTCAAAAGTGGGAAGAATATATATTGCCAAGGTAGGTGATGTGTGTGTCTAGTAATGTGTTGATGTGCATCCACTTTAAATGCATCAGACAACCTTATACTCAACAAACTTACTTCACTAGGATTATCACCAAGCCATTGGTTCATTATTCACATTATTTCTGGCTGTGTAATAATATCAGGTATTTTTAAATCATACTACTGAATATCTGTTTAAACTGACCTGTTAAAAATTAAACTTGAAACCTATTTCATGCAGACTTTGTCCAAATGGTGTACAGCTGTAATTTCTATGGCATGGAAAATAACTATCAAATGCAAATTGCTTAAATATAGGTAAAGCTCAATTAATGACTGCTCTGTTTAGCAATTATTCAGAGTTACGACTGGGCACTGAAAAAATATGTTTATGACTGGTCCTCGGACTTACAACTGTTGCAATATCCCTGCAGTTACATGATAAAGATTTGGCCATTTTGCAACTAGTGGGCTTTTATGACTGTTGGCAACATCCCAGAGTCACATGATCATCATTTGTGTTCTTTACAATTGGCTTCTGACTAGCAGAGTCAATGGAGAAGCTGGCAATAAGATTGCAAGTCACAATTTTGCTTTCTTGCTTAACAGTCACAAGTAATTTGCTTAACGACGATAGCAGAAGTCAAGGCATGAATCTGTCAGAGAAACATGATGTCTCATCGTGTTGCTTAATGATGGAATTGTCAGTCCCAGTTGTTAAGTGAGGACCATCTCTACAAGTAGCTAAATATTCAGGGAACTAACCCCTAAAGTATCCAAAAGGAAAAGATGACTATGATCAGTATATAAAACATTAATGTAAGATTGAGGTGATTTTAGTGTTGAGACATATTAAAATAAATGTAGTAGTAATAGATAAACATATTTCTTAAACTTTCATATTTGTTGAAATTCATTGAATTAAATGTATTTGAGAAGATGCTTGTATTTTTGTCATAAATTACTGATATGCACAGAGGATTTGAGAAATATTCTTGGTTACACAAATGGAACCATTATTTTTCAAGTGTTAAAATTTGAAGTGTTAAAATTTAAAATCAGTTTGAATTTACACAAATGAAAGCCAAATAACGTATGAGAGAATAATCTCGTATATGTAGAGAATAATCCAGGAGAATATGAGAGAATATCTTCTATCCTATAGTAATAACAGCTTCTTGTAAAATCATTCTGCCCTCAAATCCTAATCAGTACAAATTTCAACATTTTCTGCAATAATTATTTTATAATAAAAATTGACTAAAAATATGGTATATATTTTTAATTTTAAGAATACTGTTAATCAATCTATTTTCAGTATTGAAAAGAAATCAACATATAAGTACCCTTTGTACTTCATTTCTTCGCGGTGTCACATTTTGAGCGGCTTATGTTCCAAGCTCTAGCATCATCTTTAATTTGAATCGGGGATTACAATAATTTTTCTGTTTGTTACAACACTTTATTTTTTTCAAAAGCTACAGTCTATGTACATTGCAGTTATCGTGGCTGTTTCATTCAAAGGAGAAAATTGGTTTTTAATTGACTTCAGTAAATGGGGACAACTTATTGCATGTTTCATCCAGTTAGCAGGAGAGTATCCAATTAGCAGGAGTGTATACGTTACACCCAATATCTAAAGTGGGATTTAATTAACACTATTGGTGTGTGCAATTAATTGGGAATAAGGGCCCATTGAGCACAATGGGGCTGTTGCTGTTGTTATATCCTGCCTTTATTTGTCACAATTCAAGGTAGCATGCTTAATGTTCCCGTTCCTGTTTTTCCCACAGTAATAAATCTGAGGTGTGTTGGGCTGAGGGAGAGTGAACTTGCCTATAGTTATATTCTATGCTGTACAGTAGAATGTACCTGTTCAGGAAGGCATTTATGGTTTGTATTTTATAGCTTTGAGGTGAATTACAACAAATATAATCTTTTTAACAGTGTATTATTAATCACATTCTTCTGTAGCCATTGATGGTATGCTACAAGCAGATAGTAAATATGGTCTCAACAAAATTCATCAGATTGAATTCTCCCTTTTTTATATATACTTAATGGGGCATGTAAACGAGGACGTCAGGCTGTAAGGTCTCATAAATATCTATATGCCTATCTTATAGGCATACAGTATAGACATGCCTATAGGGTAACTGCAGAGATACACCCTGAGTTGTGGTAGACTGTTGGTGCATGTGAATTGCATCTTGAAGCACTTTATAAATAGTCAGATATATACAAAATATCTGCAGGATATAATTAGTCAGATATTTACAAAATATCTGCAGGAAAATATTACTTATTCTGAATGACCTATTTCTTGAACAGGAGTCTATCATCTTCAATGTAGAAAAATGTCTTGGTAGACACATTCCTGAAATTCTCAGGTATAAACTTCTAAATAATAAACCCAAATATTAACATTTCATAAGGCTGGTCTTGTAATTCAAGTATGACTCACGTATAAATCTGAAAGATGCTTTCGATATTTTTTTTTTCTACATGTAACTTGTAAGCTACAATCCAAACAAGTCTGTCACTGCTGAAGCATCACTCTTTTCTTAAAACTTCTGTTTCTTCGGCTGAAATTCAAAATGTCTCTATTCTATAAAAACGTATGATAAATGTGCTTATCTATGTGTGTGAATGCAACAGGGGGTTTCAGTCTTTTTAGTGTTAGGATTCCTAAAAGAATCAGATTTGTATGAATGTATTTATTGTTGACAGTGTTAGCCTGTGAATAAAGCAGAATGCCTAACATGGTTTATGCTCTGTCTGGACAAGGCAGCTGTTGATTTACCAGGCAGAGTGGGAGCCTGGTGTGGCAGTGACCCAGCTGGGAATACATGAGAACAGTGCCTCCCGATGGGAGATCAGCACTCTTAGGCTTCCTGAAATGGGACTGCAGACTAAACCTAGCCTGATGCCTCCCTCAGGAAGAAGCCAAGGAAGAGGTGTCCTTAAAAGAAGGGGAAGTTCAGACTAGGCAAAAGTGCCTCAGTCCCATATGGCCCATATGGCCTTGGGTAGCATGCAGGTGGAACTAAGGGCTGCAGCAGCAGCTGTTGCTGCAAATGCCATCAAAGGGAGCTTTGGTGTTATCTGTGCCATTGCAGTGCAATCAACACAACAAACATGGCCAATCACTTTCACCCCGCCACCCCAGTTTTTATGCATCTTCCCAGGGGGTCATGATCCATTATTTCAGAATCTGTGCAATAAAGTATGTGGATAAAGAAGTGACATGTTTCATAAAGAAAAGCTGGCCCTAAAAAGGATTGAAAATTAAACCTCTTTGTGACAAACTTGGGCTTGTTGTGAAAGTCAATACACTACCCTGGGCATGCTTTATTTCAGGGTTATCCAACTGGCTGGGGAATTCTGGGAGTTGAAGTCCACAAGTTTTAAAGTTTAAAGGTTGAACAAACTTGCTGTATTTTACTCAGTGGTCTGTATCTGGGCAAAATGTATATTAGATAAAGGCGTTGCCTAACTGCTCTGTACTGCAATGATCAGGAAAGGCTACCATTCTTCCATTTGCACAATGTTAATTTTTGAAACAAGCAAACATGTTTCTTATTAGTTGCAAAAAAAGGAAAATATTCTGTTGTTTTGATTTTCTCTTTTCCTCTTTTTTACAGTGCTACAAGGAACTAGGGGATAATTCTAAAGCTGCTCATTGGTTGACTCTGGCTTCAGAGTTGCCAATTATCACAAAAGAGGTAGCGGTTTTAATCTGTTTTTGAAAATAGTTTAAGGGTTTACAGAACAATCCACTGGGATGAGAGGGGGTGAGGAAAAGAAAAGAAAGGAAACCGTAGGAAAAATACTACGCCCTTTGGCCTGATTACTTCATGTCAGTGGAGGTCCTTCCCCTATTCTCCACTTGGCTGAATGTTTTCTTTTTAATTGTAGTTTTTTTCTCTTCCTATTGCTCTCTCTCTCTCTGAGAAAAACAAAACCTTCTAGGTCTAAGAAAATTTTTCTTCTGGAAAAAGGGCAAATGAGATGCTGTAACTGAAATATTTTTCAGGAAAAGATTTCTTATTTCTCCTGAATATCTGCAGTGGACTTTTTCACTTCCGCCTTAAAAGCACTGTCAGCAAAATTTATCTCCTTGTGGACAGTCTTTCTTCATAGGTGGGAGAGAGGGGGCCCTACAAAATCTTATCATCCCTGAGATGGTCTTCCATGAATTATAAATTGCCCTTTTCAGTTCTAGTCTGTCCCTGCCTTACTTGGGACAGCTTGTGACATTTTAGTCTTTTTTTTCTCTTATAACAATCCAGTCACTTCTGCAATATTTCCAAAGTTTGGCTCTTCTTAGACTACTGTGTGTTACTGTAGATATTCTTGTCTTTTCCATCTAGATCAGCTTTCCCTGAAGTGTCTGGGTAACGCTTGAGATCCTTCTCTCCCTGCATCTATGGAAAGCTCTGCGGAGGCGGGGAGAGAAAGATTTTAAGCTCCATGCCTGTTTGTATTTCTGCTGAGGATTGGCAGGAAGCTCTTTCAGCCAGCTCTCTGAAACCAGAGGGAGTCCTCTTGGCAAGTGGCGGGAGCTCACAACCTTTCCTGCCAGTTTCCCCACCAACTTTCTAGGGAGGCCAAAAGAGAAGATTGCAAATGGCAATTGGAGGGAATTTGGCAACAGTGTGAACAAGCTGCCAAGCACCCCGTTCGAAATCATGTGACTGTGGATGCGCTAGTGTGAGATTTTGCGACTTTCAGAAGTGTTTTACAAGCTGTGAAGCAGTCTTTCTGAGGTTATTGTAACTTTGGTCGTTAAACAACTGGTCATTAAGCAAGGACTATCTGTACACATGTATTTAAAAAAAAAGATAAAGACTGAACATATAATAAGAAAACTGCTGTGCATTTTGTAAATTGTTATCATGAAAACAAAAAAAATCTGAATTTGATAGATACCAAATAAAATAATTATTGGAATTAGTATTTCCTCATATGTGATGTGCTACATTTTTGAAGATTTCTTAAATTAATCAATTTGCAAGATCTAAAGTTTAGACTAGATAAAGTCAATGGCCAAAAGGCTTTTCCTCTTGCATTACGTAAAAGATTAAGAAAGAAATAGAATTCAGCTATTCAGGATTCGTCTACATCAAAGTTCCTAAATCATCTGCCATCACTCTTCCCTTTAATGTAAGTTTGATGCACGCACCTTCTCTAAAAACTCCAAACATGAACATAAATGAACAATGAAACTTCGTTGATCAGCAACAAACAATCAAAAGTTATATTCCCCATCTCTGAACTCTGTCTGCACCATCTCAAGGGAGATACAGTTCTTAGATTGGGAAACCCTGTTCTTTCTACCTGGTATTTAATTAGGAAGCTGGAGAAAGAAGTCTAATCCTCAGGACTGTATGGCTCATAAAATTAATCATAAATGACTTTCTAGCATTGATTCATGAATGTTTCTCTCCCATTCTTCAGGATGCAGAAGGCAGCAGAGAAATGGAAGAGATGCAAGGAATTTCTGCTGACGAAGGAATCTTAAATACTCCCTCCTACAATGAGCAGTGAAGAAAATTCCAGTATAAAAAAAAATCTCACCATGGTTCTCACTAGGCTTCAAAACAAACCACACAGCGGGGGAAAAAAGGAAACTACTATTTCACCACTTCTTTGTCCAAGATTGTAGCCGGCAATACCAAATAGTTAAAGAAATGTAATTCAGCTGCCTCCCTTATCACAAAATAAGATAATCCTAATTAACGCCTGTGTTTACCTGTTTGTAGAAGAGATGCTGGCAAATCCATTAGTATTATTTCCATGCTGCCTTTGGAGTAATACCCATCCAGAAATGTCCACTACATACATTTTTTTCAACAATTTCTGAGGAAATTGAGATAGCATCATAAAACATGTAGAATTGTTTATAGCAATATAGCATCCCTGTCACTTGTTTTTATTTTTGATCAAATTACTCCTTATAGGGGCTCTTAAGTGCTTTGTTCATGTCATTTGAAACATCTGCTGGGTGCTTATACTATATTTTGCTCTTAGAGAGCAAAGAGTAGTTTGGAATGCCACTGACTTAAGAAAAAAAAAATAGCGCGGGAAATCTTTTATTTTTTCCCCTTCTCCTAGTATCACAGCTCTGAGTTTCTTCAGTGATTGTTTCAACCTAAAGAAATATCAGGAAAAATTGTTAATATATTGCCTGAGTTGCATCTCATGGGGGATGAACCAATAGATCATGGCCTTTTGGGAAAATTGATTATCTTTGCTGAATAATATATTAATTCCTATGTTTGCTATTTATTTAAGATGTTTGTTGGTTTTATGGATAAGAATATATGTGGCATATGACACAAATATTTGAAAAGTTGAGGGAGAGACATAGTAAAATCTACCAACGCTGTTCCATGTGATTTATAAAATGCAAATTTAGGTGTGGTTTAATATTATAAACGTAAGAATGCAAAGTAAATTAGGTTACTATTCAGGAAATTAGAGTTATTATCCATCATAACAAATAATGGAAAATATTCACTTAAAGTGCAAACCTATTAATCTTTTTATGTTCAAATACTTTTTTAATGTTTGTTTACTAGTTGGCAGGGTAAAGGATGGGGCCTGGAGTGCTGTCCTTTCTTGGAATAGCACAGAGCGCCCATCTGCAGCATGTCCAGAGACGTCCTCCTAGTTCTTAAATATTTTTTGAAAGAAATAACATTACTGCCAGAAAGAACAATTAAACGCTGTTAAGCACAACACAAAAAAGAATTTGCTTCAATTGCAGGGCTTAAAAAATACATAGCAATGCATTTCCCCCCTGGGATTGCAGAGAAAGTACATTCTCTGCAATTCTGGGAATCATATGTCTATTTCAGTGTATAGCATGGAAAGAAAATTATATTGAAAAAAATATTTAAAAGAGAGGGACCACATATATATGAAGAGATTCTATAGGCTAATAAGCTGAATTGTATCAGAGATATATGTTACATAGATAACATCAGTGAATATGAGATGGAATGAAATAACCAGTGAGTTTCCACTTGTTGTAAACCAAACACTTTTCCAGAATTCAGTGTAACTGTTTTCTATGTGTACTTTGATTTTTGGCAGATATTTTTGAAACCATCATTTCATAATAACGATAGCTATATTATTACAGTGAGGTTTAATACACTGCCATGTTGGACATTTCTGTACAATAAGATCAGAAACAACTTGCAAGAATTTGATCCCTTCTCATAAAGATGGATATTTCATTGCTCTTATATTGCTTTTTTAATTTTACAAAATAATGTGGAACAAAAAGCAATATTTCAGTCCAAAATAATGTTTCTTCAGTTTGTAACCAAAAACATCTAGAACCTATCTTGAAGTGTTTTATGCTTCCAAACCAACAATGTAAAGCCCAAGTTTCATTTAGATTACAAAGAAATGTGATGCTGCTAAGATTATAAAATCTTACAAACATTTTTGCAGAGGGAGTAGTGTATAATGTTTATAGGACCAGGTGCTAAAAATATGCTACTAGCTTCTTAGCGAGTGGACTTCCTTACATATCTTCAATAACAATCTATACATTGTTTAGTGGAGCTCCCAAAGTTAAACTGAAGAAGTAAAATATAGAAATATTTTTATTAGACATATGAATCCTTAATGTAATAATTCATATTTTAAAAATACATATTTACTAGCACTGTTAATATTTTACTCTGGTAATGTGAGACCAAACTTCCCCAGTTTCATTTCCCATGCAGGCTTCTATATAGCAAGCTATTGTTGATTTCCTCATTTTGTTGGGTGGAAAAGAAATTCCTTGTGGAACATACCATGTTTTTGTATCTTGTTTTATATTACAGTGAGGTGTAGAGTATATTCAGTTTGAAGTCTTACAATATTAAATGGGTGGCATGTTCTAAGGGCAAAGAAAAAAACCTATACTCTCTTGCTTTTTCATGCAAATCATTTCAGTATTAGGTTCAAAATGTGCAGAAGCAAATTTGATGCAGAAATTTTATTCTGATTGAAGCAGTCACCTGTTCATCTGAAGCAATGTTTCTCCACCTTGGAAGTTTTAAAAGGTATTTCTAGAATTCCCCAGCCCAACATGGTGCCTGGGGAATTCTGGCAGTTGAAGTCCACAAAGTCGCTGAGATTAAGGAACACCAATATGAAGAGTCTCTTGTGAAATCTGTGGCCTTGTTTGCAGAGAAGAAGTAGCCTGTGCCAACGTCAACTAGCTTGGTTAATATTTGATTTCAGAACTCTGCATTTATTTAGCATTTTTTATTCTCTGTTAGAATTGAGTTTTGAAATGTAACTTCGTCACTTCCATAATTTCCAAAGCTGCTTTTTCTGTTTTGACTTAGGAGAATTTATATCTCATTGTGTAAGTTGATGTTTTATATAATTGACTGGTTTGTGATTGCAGTTAAGTAATTGTTCCTTCTCTGCTTTAAAGATTGTAGCCAAAGTGAACATGCAGAACATTCGTAAGAAGTTGACCAGTCTACTGGTACATGTTTGTGCACTGAAAATTAATGGATTTGCAAGTTGTGTAAATATTTTATGTCAACTAATCAAAGCATCAGCTGCCTATTTTAATACCATTTTAGAACCAGGCTCATTATCAACATTAATATGACATTGTCTCAAGTCATGATTTGGGACAAAGCGCCTGTGAAAACCTTATGTAGCAGGCAAACATTTAGAGAAAAATAATGTTGTATTGGTCAGAGACTTACAACCTGGTTTGATAAACAGACTCAATCCTCAGAAATCATTATTGGCTATCTTTGCCTTTAAGCCAAAAGATTCCAGGACTAGCTGCAGGCTGCAGACTAGAACTAAAGAATTCCTGATTTCACCTTAAAAATTTTCATATAGATTTTCTTTGTTCTGCAGTCTCTGAGTTACGTTTTGTCTTTATTAAGGCAGTCAAACATTCCCAGGTTAGTTCTTATTGGAATCAAAACAATGGATGAATTGTGGTTGCTTTTCTAATTCATGGAAATACAGTTTACATTTTAAGTATAAAAATTTGAGAATTTAGCTAATGACCAAAAGTGTTGCCTTTGAGTACTTTTTAGAAAAGACTAAAAAGAATTTATAAAAAATGAAAAAAAAACCAACTAGATTGCTGCGGTGCTATATCCTATTATCCATGTGTAGACTCATTCAGACTTCCCACTGAGTTAATATATAGGGGTTTGCACTGCACTAAAGTATACTTTGCTGGTTTTGCCTCATTTTCACATTTCATATGAATTCTTCTGAATTAGGACCTTGAATGATTTCATATTTGTTGACATTATTAATTTACAAATGTGTGAAAGCATTTGTGTTATATGATAGTCTTGGACTGCCTTACACATATTTTAACATTGCATACAACCAAATTAATGTGGGATGGATTCTAAAGTAACTGTCACAAAGAATAAAGAATTAAGAAATTAAAAGTATCAGTCTTCTTTATAAGTGTCAACTTCTAGATCTAGTCAACAATGAATGGATGATATTTTTGATTAAGACATTTGGAACGACTAAATTCAACAGTAGTTGTTAGCTGGGCTGTCAAACTTGCGGCCTGTGGGCCAGATGCATCATGCACTGGCCATCTCCACCCCAGGTTTAATGAAGGGGAAGAAGTCGCAATACATCACGTGACGTGATGCCGTGAGTTTAACACCCCTGTTGTAGGCAGAATATTGCCCACTGATTGCTTTCTCTATGTAGTTAAGACTCCAACAGCCTTTCCTCTAAAGATGTATTGGAGAAGATGTAATCAGGTAGAATTAGTTTAGAGTTTTGAAGGCTGTAAGAAGGCTACACAGTGTCTACATAATTTGCATTAATGCAAGGAAACTTTTTCTTATAATTCTCTCCACTCCTTTGCTTTGACAATAATGTTTTAGTTAGTGTTCCAAATCTCAAAGGATGCCTGTGTAATTATTTTGAATGAGATGCAATTACAGAGGAAAGTGACCTTTGTTCAAAGGTGCTTGGTTCTTTTTCTTTGGAAGCAGCAGCCTTATGTCAGGAAAAAAAACATATGGATGTGTGACTAATTTTGCTGATTATCTGAAATTAAGGGAGGGAGTATTTTACAAATGTACTTCCTCCCCACTGAAGGCACTGAAAAATTAAGGTGAAAATGATAATAGAAAAGGACATATAGAATAACTGACATTAAGATATTTACTTTGAGACTCTTTAAAGGCAGCAAAAAAGTCCATAAAAATTTCCTGATTGTACTTTTGTGCTTTAAAAAAAGCTAATACATGAATTGACTGAAATTTAAATTTCAACTCAATTTTATTTGAAATAAAAGTAAAAAACACTAAAAGTATGTGCGTTGTTTATTCTATATGCCTCTTTGGTTAGATTCAAATTCTTAAGTTCTCCACTGTGAAAAGGACACAGATGTTCTCTCCAGTGGTAACTCCAGAGAGTTGACTCAAAACACATCATCATAGAAGAGAAACACCCATAGGAAGCATCAATGTCTCTGCAACTGCCTGAAAAAAAAAAGACATTGGCAGGTGGCTTCCAGAGTTAGGCAGATCCAATTGCTCAGAGGATTGTAATTGGACTAGCTCCCAAAAACAAGAGTCCTTCTGTGGTTTTCTGCTAGTTCATTGCAACATCTAACACCATGTTACTCCCACCAGTACTCTGAATAATGATAAAACTGGAATGGTAAAACAACTTTAGTGAAGTTAGATTTGTTAGGTTTCTTTATTGACATCTATTACTGGAAGAAAAGGATACACTTTTATCTGGTAGTATTTCTATCACAATTTTATACTTAATTCTTTATTGTAAGCTGCCTCAGTAAGGCTTCTTCTAAAACTGAAGGGGAGGGATTAATATATTTGTGTTTGGACTCTAAATAAAATTCTTACATTGGTAATTTACAAATTGCACATTTCCATTTGAATAAGTTTCACTTGAAGCATTAGGACTTGTTCCAGAATCTTAAGTATTTCCTCTAACAGACAAATGCTTTTAGTGTTTACTTCACTTACTTGTAAATATATGTGAGAAAGAGAGCAGTAAGAGACAGCAGAATCCCTGTAAAAAATTTTAGTGGGTTGCATATTTAAACATGGAACATCCCAAATGTTGAATTAGTACTCTTGGCATCATGAGGGCAAGCACAGCAAGTATAATGTTTGTGTGTGCATGTGCATTTTAGCTTTGAGACTAGAACAGTTCTCCAAGTGCAGTAAGACAGATAATAAATAATGGTCTAACTAGTCTAAAATAATTCCTAACTCCTTTGCATCTCAACTTTGTAACCGAGTTTGCTCATGATATACCATGATTTAACCATAGTTTGAATAAACCATGTTCTGCTGGTTCTCACAGCATGCTAAACCAAAATAAAACAAACCAATGTGTGATGTATGATATATGAATTGGGGTAAGATCTTGGATATATTCTACCCATAGTCCTTTCCCCAGTCTGTACAGCACTAGCAATAGCACTTAGACTTACATACTGCTTTACAATGCTTTACAGCCCTCTCTAAGCGGTTTACAGAGTCAGCATATTGCCCCCAACAATCTGAGTCCCCATTTTCCCCACCTCGGAAGGATGGAGATCTACCTTTCTGCAATCTGCTGCCTGAGTCTTCACTGAAAAATAGAAGCTTCAGTCCTAAGGAAGGTTCAGCTCTGCTTTTAGATTAGCTAGAAAGCAAGAAATCCAACAATTTCCTGCTTTCTAGCTAATCTAAATCTCCTGGCACAACAGAACAGCTGAGGGTCGCAGGGAAAAAAAAAGGAAAAATAGCAACTTAACAGGCAAGTTTTCCAGGTAAGGAGTGAGTGGGCAGGGAGGGCTCCCCTGGGCTATGTGGGTGGCACAGCCTTGTGTTCCCCGCGCAGCCTGGATTAATTGCTTTGGGGGGTGCTTTGGGGGTGACATTTCTCTGCGGACCACCAAAATTTTCTCGCGGACCGCCAGTGGGCCGCAACCCACTGGTTGGTAACCACTGCTTTAAGATTCAATTGTTTTGGGTTTTTAAAAAAATGTATTCAAGTTTAAAAGCTGCTATTATACAAAACTGTTAAATGTTTGGCTAACAAAAAAAAATAGATGTACATATAGTCCTCAACTTACAACCATAATTTAGTTCCAAATTCATGTTGCTTCTTCTGCTTATTTTAATTCTTTACCGCAGCATCTAGCTTTGAATTCTGAAACCTTTATTTTGCCTTTAGTCATACATGCATAGCATCTTATTTTTTGGCATGAGAAAGGGAATAGAAATAACAAAAAACATTTAGTTGTCATGAGAATATTTCCATATTGAGGTATAATAGGTTGGATATCTAGTTTCAAATCAAAGTTTGTTAATTTTATTAACTATCTGGCAACACTGGGAAGCAGTCAAGGTGCAAAGCCATTAATAGACAACAGGTCTTATTCTGAAGAAAGTTAGAGCACTCTGCACAGATGCTGCTGATCTCTTCAGGTGGAGGCTGCTGTTTTTCTTCTTCACCATCATAAATTAAAACTGCTCCAGACCTAACAATTATTCACTGCAAAGGCATAAGGATGTACAAAAGGTGACAAGAAGACCACACTTTTTCTAGGCAAAGTGTGTGCCGTGGCTATAAAGAAATACACATTCAAAGGGAAAAAGGTGATTCCAAATAGATAGGGGAAAGGAGGGAGCACCTGTGGACACATTATTAAAGCTGTTTTGCCCCCCCATTTCGATGTGAGCCCAAGAATAACACAACTTCTTCAAGAAGTGATAAACTTAACTCTACACTAATTGGATCACTACACAATCATATGTACAAATGTATTGAGCACTCCCTGCTAAGCCCATGTAAATAATAACTAAGTATGTTTATTGTCACTGTGGTCAACCACACATTTTATGTTACTTCCTCCATAAGTGCTTCCCATTAAAGTAGTTAAATCACAGCTTGCAACCCTTCTCTCTTTCTCTCCCTCCTTCTCTCTCTTGCACACATACTACAACTCCTGAGTGACAACTAACTTGACAGAATTGGAAAGGTGGATGGGTGGGTGAGGGGAAGACACTAGGGCATTTTTCTCCATTTCACACAGCTGCCGAGAGTAATAAAATAGGCATGTGCTTAAAACAGGACAAGACTGCCCAAACGTTCTTGAATGCTGACACCAAAATACCAGATCCATCATTCTGATGGAAATGTAGAACAATACTTTTTTTCTAATATACACGTTAGCAACTGACCACCTTAGCTGAGCCTAAGGCAGCTGCAGTTGAGCACAGCAAGAAGGCATCAGACCCAGAAGGCTTTTTGTAGGATATAGAGAAGGGGACCCCAATTCAATTGCTTTGATCACCTTCAGAGTTAATTGGGGGGACGGGACGGACGGGCCCAGTTGAAATTTCCTTTGACAGGGGACTTCCTATGTCTGAGTTCCCGCTGCTGGTAAAAGCACAGAAATAAGTAAAGGCGCTGATTTCCGACAGGTAAGTCAAGGCAACCGTTCGCCCGCCTCTCCCGCCAGGGCGCTTATTGCAGAGTTCAAGATAGTTCTGCAAAACAGGTCGCGGCTGACGCTAAGAAGGGCAGGAGGTGTCGGTGTTCCTCCGGCTCCCGTCCTCCTCGGCCGGGGAAGTGCTTCGCCTGGACACCGACAAAGTGTAGGGCCGGGGCCTGAGAACCAGCCCGTGCTCGCTGTCCACGCTCATCTGTTCGGCTGGGTTGGCCGTCAGGTCGCACTGGTGCAAAAGGATGGCCGTGAAGAGGAAGAGCTGCAGCTTGGCGAGCTGATCGCCGATGCAGCGCCTTTTGCCCATGGAGAATATCAAGACGCGGCAAGCGAGGTCCCGGTCGAGGGTCTCCTGCCGATCGTCCAAGAAACGACCCGGGTCAAAAACGTGCGGGTCTTTCCAGCGGAGCCGATCGTGGTTGGCAGACCACTGGTTGACGAAGATCACGGTGCCCTCGGGGATGTGGAAGCCGTCCAGGCACACGTCGGCGGTGGTGGCGTGCGGGATGGTGACCGGAACGAAACTGCAGTAGCGGAGCGTCTCGTAGAGGAAGGCTTCCAGGCGAGGCAGGGAGGCGCGATCGTCAGCCGTCGGAAGCCGCTCGCGACCCACCACGCGGTCCAGGTCGGCCTGCAACTGCTCTCGCAGCTGCGGGTGTTTCAGAAGCAGCAGCACCAGCCAAGCTAGACCAGCAGACATGGTGTCCTGGCCGGCGCCGAAGAGATCGCTCAGCGTGCCTTCCGCGTAGTCCCCGAGGGGTCCTTCTTTCCCCCCGGGCCCGTGCTCCATGCGGTCCAGGATGGCATCGCTAATGTGACGGGCAGGGGAGCCGGGCTGGAAAGTCAAGCGATGCTGCGCCACCTTGGCGCGCACGAACTCCAGCATCTCCAGGTTGATCGCCTGGAAGTCGCGGAAGACGCTGCGCACCGGGTTGGGGAAGGAGAGCAGCCAGGGCAGCACGTCCACCAGGCTGCCCGCCGCCACCGTTTGTCCGAAGCGGTCGTTTCTGCCCAGCAGCGCGCGGAACTCGGCGTCGGCGTGGCTGTAGCGCTGCCCGAAGCAAAGGGCGCACATCACGTTGGCGTTGGCCACGGTCAGCAGCGGCAGCGGGTTGACGTAAAGGCCGCCCTCGCTCAGCTTCGCCAGCCCGTCGATGAGCTCCTGCACCTCGGCCGTCACGTGCTGCTCCAAGAGCCGCTTGTTGGGCGCCTTGGCCGTCGAGAAAGCGCGCAGGGTGGCCTGCGCCACCCGCCGTTGGGCTCGCCAGAGCTCCGTGTAGCGTCCGAAAGCCACGCTCTTCCCGCCGGAGACCATCCGGAAGGAGGGGAAATCGGGTCTGCCCGCGAAGGGCCCGCCTTGCTGCACCAGCGCCTGCCGGATGGTCGCCTCGCCGTTGAGCACCACGATGGAGCGCAAACCCAGCCGGAGCTGGAAGACGTCGCCGTAGCGCTCGGCCAGCTCGCAAAAGGTGAGGTGAGGCAGGCGACCCAG